TATCACTGGATGCTACAATCATGGTAGCAAAAAACTGCCCAATCATTGGTGAACACGTTGTTATCATTTTCGTGACGTAATAGGTTATCATAGCAGCAGTATGACCTCCTAAAAACACCCTTAATTACAGCTTCAGGGGCTTATAATTTAAAAACGGCACGGTGAATTTTTTTTTATATTATCAACTTTTGATGAGCATGATAAGGCGCAACTTTTGGCATAGTTTAAAAAAATTCTGTCAGTAGGGTTGAGAGCCACCTTAAATTTTCGATTTAAGGTGGCTCTGAACCCTACCTACAGAATTTTTTTAAACTTTGCAAAAATATGTGGAACACTTCTTTTGAAAAGTTGCTGATAATGTCTTCGTAACGGACCAGAATGTAGCGCCTTTTGAACCAATTTGACCATTCTGCAAGAACGTAATCTAAGTTTTCTGACACAAGCGCGTATAGCGTTTGCGCATTTTCCTTCAGAAGTTTTATTCCTTCGGGAGACATTGGCGTCTGTGTAAACAGATTTGCGACTGGCCCCTTCATGAAGAAACGTCGCGGAATTAGAGAAGAAAGGACAGCGCGTGGATCTCTGACCAGGTGAACAATTAAACAGTCAAACTTAATAGGATCTGAGCGGCACACCTGCTCGAGTTCACGAATTCCACCTTCTCTGGGAAGTCTTGTTTGCATGATCTTAGTGACTGTGATTGTCGATGAATTATACCATGCGTTGAGGTCTCTAACCCATTTGGGGAAAGCTAACTCTATCGTTCTTTCTTCGTCAAAGCCACAAGTGAATAAGTCGCGAAGCAGAGTCAAGAAGTCTTGTTTGTAGGCATCGTTGCTCGGCATTTGAAGGGCACGCCACCCATTCGTATCAATGTCTCTTCTAAGAGTGTTCAGAGGTTCATAAATATAAAACACATCGGGATGGAGATTAAACATATTTTCCACAATTGTCGACCCAGAGCTTATATGCGTCAACAAAATCACATTTAATCTGGTTTTGGTGCGGTTAGTTTTCACTACAGACTCGTTTTTCCTTGACTCACGTATATCACAATAGTTACAAGAACTAAAACAGGAATAGCGACGAACACTTTTAATACTCTGTTCATTGTAACTGTTTGAGACAAAAGATTTTGATTTACTTGTGAGACTCATTTGTCAGACTTAATGAGGTCATTTAAGTAAGACATTTCAATACTCAGTGAAAATTAAAGCGCTGGTGACGGTATCGTTTGCAATTCTGCTTATTTTCGTTTCCTGTGAGCTCTAAATTTTAGTTTGCCAGAGCGGTGGTCTATTATTGACAAGATAACGGTCACATGACAAATTTTCAAGAGTTATAAGATATATATAACACTTAAATACAAAGGAGATCAACGTCGGGTAAAAAACTCGTATCGACTGATGATTTATTCGTGATGAACTCAGAGTCAGCCGCTAATTGATTGCCAACAACTGCGGGCTCAAATGATTCTCGATGCGAGCTACGGATTAAAATAACAGTTGTAATTAGGCGGAATCACTCAATTTGCTCACGAAGTTAATTGTTTGCTGGCAAGACGTAATATAAAATGTGGAGTTTGTTTCATTAGTTGATTATAGTTATTTTTCACTTATAGAATACTGTGTACATAACACATTCAGTTTCTTGCTAGAACTCAGTACTTTATCAGTAGTAACAACCAAAACAGGTCAAGTGTTCCACCTAAAGAAGCTTTATGATTATTTGTGAATTAAGGATTCTTGTTAAACTTATGCTGTGTCACGCAGCATTTGTCATATGTATTTCATGATGCATGTTCGTGTCAAACATCACAAACCTTATGATTAACTCCTATCAGAACCCCGGGATCAGAACACAGAAATATGTAACCTACGCAGAATACGCTAATTTGTCACAAATCTAAGCCATAGTTAAACTGTGTCTAAGCTGATTTACTCTCCAGCGCGGATCAGTTGTAGTCAATATGTTTTGTTACAGATATGTTTTTTCTTTTAATTTAACAATTTTTTTTATTTCTTTATTATTTGTATTGACAATTACGGTTACAAGCATATTTACTAGACGCACTAACACTAAAAAAAAAA